GTCTGGGGTACGTACATCTCCCTAGGATCCTTTTCAAACTACTTATTTTTTGGCGAAGTCGTACCGTTTCGGTGGTGCGCAATCTCTTTTCAAATCGTGAAGTGGTATTAAGCCAAAATGCAAGCTGCCTGGAACTATATATTGAAGGAAGAAATGTTATTTTAGGTTACAATGGGCGCGTCTCAGGGGTTTTCTGAATTTTCTGCATGTTTTCTGCATATTCTGCACATTTTCTGCGTATTCTGCGCGTTTTTTGCGCATAATAAACATTTTATGCACATTATGCGCAGAATTGTGCATAATATTGGGTTGCATAATATCGGAAAAATCATGATGCATTTTTGCAACAGATTGCGCTAATGCATTTTTGGAAGTACTAGAGTCATTCGCATCTATGTTATTGCTATCTCATTTGACAGCTGACAGTTCTAGCTTCATTCTAAAAAAAAAATTGAGCGATTTGGTTGAGTTTTGGAGATTTTATAACAAGTTGAAGATGGAAGACCAAACTGTGCATTTTCGGCATATATTTCTGTTTTACTTCCGTAAAGGGAAGAACGCGCGTCAAGTTTGTGAAAAGTTGCGTAAAGTTTACGGTGACAATGCTGTACAAGAACGTCAGTGCCAACAATGGTTCACGAAATTCCGTGCTGGTGATTTTGATCTCAAAGACGCTCTTCGGTCAGGGAGGCCTATCGAGGATGATGACAAAATAAAGTCATTGATCAAGTCAAACCCACGTTACACGACACGAGAGATTGCAGAAACATTGAACATCCATCATTCAAGCGTTCACGACTACCTGAAGAAGCTGGGATACGTAAGCAAGCTCGATATTTGAGTTCCTCATGAACTCAAAGAAGTTTATTTGACGGCGCGTATAAACATCTGCGATATGCTCATTAAACGTGAGGAAAACGATCCTTTTTTGAAGCGACTGATAACTGGTGGATTGTTTACAACAATGTAGTGCGCAAATGGTCTTGGTCTCGACGTGATGATTTGCCTCAAACGACATCGGAAGCAAACATTCATCAGAGGAAGGTTATGCTCTCAGTGTGGTGGGATTTTAAAGGTGTCATGTTTTTTGAGCTCCTACCAAGGAACCAATCAATTCGAATGTGTACTGTCGGCAATTGGATAGTTTGAACGAATCCATCATCCAAAAACGTCCAGAGCTCGTTAATCGTAAAGTAGTTGTGTTCCATCACGACAACACGAGACTACACACAAGTTTGATCACCCGTCAAAAATTATTGGAGCTTGGATGGGATGTGTTGCCACACCCACCATACTCGCCTGACCTTGCGCCGTCAGGCTTCCACTTGTTTCGCTCTCTTAAAAACTCCTTGCGTGGTATAACGTTCAATTCAGATGAGGCTGTAAATCAGCACCTTATTCAATTTTTCGCCGATAAAGACAAGTCCTTCTATGAACGAGAAATTATGAAGCTCACTAAAAGAAGGCAAAAGGTTATCGAACAAAACGGGCAATATATCATTGATTGATCTTTGTTCTTTATATAAATAAATGACCTTTGAAAAACAGAAAAAATACGTCATGACTTTTCCGACAACCCAATATCTTCCTGCCGCGCATATTACTGATCCCTGCACCAGAGGCTTGATTCTTGACGGTATACGAATACGCATACCGAAAATGTATAGTTCACGTTACGTATACTATAGATTTTCGCATGCGTATCTCATTCGCATACCGTCAAGAATCGGACCCCAGGCGCGAATAAGCAATATCCAATGAGAGCTCTTCTTCTAAAGGGAGGTTATGCAACGAGCGTTGTATGTAAAAGTGTAAACAACACAAATAAACCTACTCTTAATTATCTGTAATCTGTGTACTGTATCTGTGTACAGACAGAAATATTAAAGTTTCTTTGTAGTATTTATTCTGCTTTTCTTTTATCGATAAAAGTGTCTATAAATGTGTATATAATCTAATCGGAAGAATTATAAATCACATTTAAAAGTACTTTTATCGATAAAAAAGAAAATAATAAGGGTCTATATCTTTTTTTACAACAATCAATTCCAGCCATCATTCTACGTACGAAAGTATTCAAGTTAAGACTCCTGTGTCTTCACTTTAGCTGTTCTTGTTTAATGACGTCAGAAGAAACCGCATGACAATTTATATTGCAACATGCATGAAAATTAAAAAAATATATGTATAAAATATCTTCTTGATCGATTCAGCATACTTGCAGAAATGTTCAGGCATTTTTTTTTAATCTCAATAACCAACATATAACCGAAAATTAATATAACATGCAACTTGCATTTTTAATCTATTTGTTTCCCTGATTTTTATTGCGTTAATTTTACAGCTGCTTATTAACTGTTCAGATTAAAGGAAAGTATCCGGACATATTTTTACAAGTGTGCTGGATCGATCATTTAGTGCGTGTATTCTTTAATTTTTATGTATATCGCAATATAAATTGGCATGCAGTTTCTCGCTTCTGACATCATCAAACAAGAACAGCCATAGCGAGAAGACAGGAGCCTTAAAGTTTATCAGAAAATAAATATTGTACAAGATATTGTACAAATAAATATTGTACAAGATATTTTATATCTTATGTTGAGAGAATAAAAATCAGAACAAAATATATTTCGAAAAATAACCACTTTATAGTGAATTTACTTGAGTACTTTTATATATAAATGATCAGAGGAATCGATTTATGTTAAAAAAAGTCATATGATTTCACTTTAAAAAATCTGAGTCGACCTTGAAATAACTTTAAAAAATATATATTTTAACAGCATAAAAATTATCGTCTTACGTCCCGCTTGATATCCTGCAACTTTTGTTTAAAACTTTTTTTTATAAAATACATAGGAAAAGGAATTTTCGCGCATAGGGACATTAAAATGGCTCACTCTGTGAGCTACCTTAATTCTTTTTAAATATAGATATTATAAGTTAATTATTAGTAAAGTATAATTATATTTTCAATTTAAAATTGGGACATTAATATTATAATTATGGGTTTTATAATAATAAGATAGAGAAAATATATGAGAACAGACCAGAATATGGATTGTATCCAACTCTAAAATGAGTCATATAGATAGAAAAGGACTTTGGAATATGAACTAATCAGTATGGTTACATCCTCGTACACAGTTTATCTATTAAAGTTATCTTTGTGCAAACAAGATATTCAATGACGAAGAAAATTTCTTCATATATACAGGATATCTGGGTTTAGGTGTCCACAAGTTCATGAAGATAGAACTTGTTAAACTGCATAGAAAAATTCTCTATTATTTTGTAAACTATCACAGCAATTAATAAAATTTTAATAAAAGAAAAATGGCAAATAAGTGCGTGCAATGCGGGGTAATAAGCTCTGCAAGTACTCTGAAGAGATATGTCTTGCGCTTGTTGATTGTTTTTTAACAGCGCTATAAATTGGATGAGAGTGAAAAACGGAATAACATTGATACGAGTGGCGCAATTTTGATTTAAGTAAGAATCACACGAATGCACGATTTCATGCCTTCTTAAATACATGCTAATCGACAATTCAGTTCATTGAATCAATTACTATCATATATTGAAGGAACTATGCAGTGAATTGAGCTGCTGATCGGTATGCATGTGTGGAAGGCATAAAATCGTGCACCATGTATTTATAACTTAACATGTATGGTCTTGAGTTGCATATCTATATATTCTATTGCTAAAAGATCAGAAAACAAGTCTAAAACATGTCTCTTTGGACATATGTATGTACGTGCGTGCATGTTTATCCGTATGTACATGCGTGTATCCTACTAATATATGCGATAGTTTTTAATTATTTTGTTTAGTCTTATAATTATAAAGTGTTATATAGATTTTTTCTTACTAAGCTAATATATAAAACAATTTAAACATTAAATTTTATTCAGTAAGAAAAAATGTGATAATGTTATTATATAATATTATGTTTGCTTAACCCTTTAAATATCACTGGTACCAATAGAGACCACTTAGGATCGGGCAGTTGAAACCTTATAAATGTGTTATTTAGAATGTTTTTGACAATATTTCATTAAAACAAAGTTACTAGAATGTTCTATGAATTATGCGCCTTAAAGGGTTAATTTTTTTTGTGTGCATGAATGTGTGTTGTAAGCATACAATGAATCATTATTTCTTTAAATTGATACACCAGCTGCATTTAATAAAAATTAGCACTATGTTAACATGTTACTTCAACATTTAATTGCATTAATATGCAATGTTAATAAAACTAATAGGATATTCTGTTAAACATTCTTTTGTAACGTAGTACTAAATGTTAGAACTTTAAATATTAACTTTGCTAGTATAACTATATATAATATATTTATTGCCAATATGGGATAACAGAGTTAGCTAAATATATAATTTTTAACATATAATATACAGTTAGCTAAACACATAATATATAGTTGCTTGAACATTATTTTTTTATCTCCATTTATATGTATATGATTATACAATTACCGAAATTATTGCACTCATTTTAATGAATGTGAAAATATTATTAGCTAACAACTGATTTTCTATAAAAAGTTATATAATGCAAGTAAATGAGTTTTTTTCCATTTTGCAATAGTTGTGTTTAGCATGTAAAATAATTTGCTGTTTTAAAATTTTTTACTGAACAGTATTTAACAGTTTATATATATATATAAACATATATATTACTCATGATTGTGTGTGTGTGTGTGTGTGTGTGTAACATAAAAGTTAAATTGGAACATCCTCTTTGTGTGTATTTGCTTTATCGTGCTATAATTCATACATGTTATAGATCAGTTTATATATCCATACATATAATATCAGCATTGCACAATCAAGCGCAAAGTTAGTTTACATATATATCGTACATATTTCAACACTTCCTCAATAAATTGCACAAGATTTAACTAGGAGAGTGACAAGTCTTATCTACTATGCATGAATCAGTAAGAGACAAAGGCCAATTAGAAAATGGCCGCATTATGTTAATTTGTTCTCTTTAGATTGCAAAATTTATAGTTAGAGATTCATTAATATGTATGAACAATCTATATTTGACAAAATAAAGATTTTAACGTTTTATATAATTTATATATAAAAAAAATCTAAATTATTAGATATAACTTAAATAGAAGCAGTATTCATTATATTATGAATATCTTTAAATTCATATATCTAAATATTATGAAAATTTACTTCAAATAAACTTTTTAAATAAATATCATACATTAAGAAAGAATAACATATTTTTCTTAAAGAAACTTGATTTTACAGAATATTTACAATTAAATACTACGTATGATTGAAGTGTTAATATCGCCCTTTCCTTTTTATTTAATAAAGAAAAATGAAAAATAAAGAAAATCTCTTTGATACAATGGAAAAAGAAACAACATAAATCATATCCAAAAGTCTTTTTTTACTTCAATCAAAATAAATTAATGTCTCAATCTCATTTTATGCAGAGTCATTCTATTTACACAATGTATACAGAGATTTCATAAGTTCAGAATAGCCTATCATACATAATTTTAAATTTGTAATAGAAAATTGAAATGTTTTTGTGGTAAAATTCCTTCTATTTTATAGAGACAAAACTAAGAAAATATAAATTCTGTTCTTTATAACTGTGCTTCCTGAAATATCTGATAATTTTTGTTTTATTTTTTTTTTATTCAATATTAAATATATACTTACATTATAAGTATAGTGTTACTATAAAGAATAGATTAACAGTAAAATGTTGAATGTGACGTCATGCGTCTGCAAAATGAACAAACTGCGTATTATTGATTATAAAAACTTACATTTAAGCCCGTCGCCGAGGGTGCTACTGACACAGACCAAGACAACCAAGAAAACACAAACTAGCTTCATAGTTGCAAACGGGAAGATAGTACGATCCCGGGAAAAGAAGGTAGCTAGCAAATGAACAGTTGCACGGCCTGTTTGCCTCGTTCAGAAGCAACCTTTATACGCACTGGTACAGAAGGCTACTTTCGTCGAAGTTAGATAAGAAAACGTGCAGCAACTAAACGTGTCTTACAGCCATTGATCACCTAACAATAATCGGTTGGCAAACGCACGACATACGCACTTCAACCGCATAGGCGGGGAGGACGAGGGCGCTGGAATTTGCCTTCCATTCCGCTGCCCCTCACATCCGCACCTAGGGTATGAAATGAATACGCATGCGCGTGCTCCGCCCCGTCAGCTGACTATGATTAAGTGAAAAGTCCTATCGCCGGTTAGCGACACTCATTGTTGGGGGAACGTCGAAACGAGAGTATTCACGTTACTTCCTATCGAATGTGCGCACTGATCATTCACGAGAAAGGTATGTTACTCAAACTCGGACTGATAATTTTCTCAGCACGTAAGCAGATAAAAATATAATAAACAAATTTTGGAAATGTCATATTGTTACATCGTTATAATTTTTCGTGCTATATATAAATAGTACTACACATTTTTGCGGATATAATATACTAAGTGCGTCATAAGTGATCACATACATATAAATGGTTGATTTTCTTTTAGGCGCGATGCGACATTGCGCAAAATCGTTAATCATTCTCTCGCCATCCGCAATTGACCTTTGAACGAGTTCAAATCGTTGTTAAGTCTTTTTATTTCCGTTATCGTACTCGTGACGAATGGTGATATATTGTTACTCATCTTTCCAATATCTTCGAACAATGCCCTCAAGTGAAATCTTTTTGTTGTGGCACTGTACTTTCGTTGAGAAATAAATATTGTGACTGTAAATTTATTGTAAAATGATAGATACATAAAGGAAAAATTATTTCAATCAAAATTAATTATATTCTCGAAATATTTGTTTTTAACATAAAAAGGTTAATTTTAGAATATTCTGTAAATATACGAAGATTTAATTTCTATGATGCATTAAATTTCAGCAAAGATGCTGTTCTATGGAATAATATCTATTCTTTTGGTAACTGCCTCTGCAGAATATTGTTACAATGATGTTGAGAACGCTTGCAGTACCAGACCTACCGCGACTGGTATGTGCATATATATTTATTATAATTATAATAAAAATTTAAAAACAATTGGTTATGTAAATTATTCAAATTTTATCAGGAAACTGGACTTGTATGTCACACATACACATAAACACACAAAGTTCATATACACAAAGAGAAAGAAGAAGGGAATAATTCTAATTTAATATTAAAATTTGTATAATGATAGATTATCTATATCTTTTAAATTATATAATTTTTATGAGCATATTTTCTTACTGATGTTTCTAGATAACCCATTAGTTCCAAACTGTAATGCCAAATATGGAGCTATTGATGTACTTCAGACTGAGCTTCAAGCATATGCAAATGCTAATATTGAAACCAGCTTTGAGTTTCTACTCATATCTACACATTTTGGAAATTATGAAGCAAATCGAGAAGGATTTAAAGAATTATATCGTAAACTTTCAGATCAATCATGGGAAGATGCTATAGATTTGATAAAATATATTACAAACCGTGGTGGCAAGATGAACTTTAACCAGCTTCCACGCTTTAAGAAAAATGTAAATGTTATCTACTTTCATCTAATTATTGTGCTAGTAAAAAAGGATATGTTGTATGACCCATACTATTGTTCATAGGTCAAGGAAAGCAGAGTATTGGAATTAAATGAGTTGAACAGTTTATCTAAGGCACTTGATACTGAGAAACAACTTGCTGATGAAGCATTACGTATTCATACTCAAGCACAGCATCATACTAAACAAGATGCAGCTGTTGCACATTACATTGAGGAACACTTCACGGAATCATTGACTGAACGGGTGAGACAATTGGCAGGTTATACAAATGACTTAAAGAAGATGTTGGAAGAACGTGACCCATCTGTTTCCATATTTCTATTTGATGAATACCTTCAAAAAGCTTTGTAAATTGCCTGCAGATATAATTTAAGGTACATATATATTATTACTGACAATATGTTATCACTATTGTTTTGCTTTTAATTGTGTCTAATGTTTAATATGTAAAATAGAAGAAATAAATGTATAAAAACTTCTTATAACCTATAATAATGTGTATGTGTGCTGGAAATAGAATGTATCTTCTTATAAATGAATCATAATTAATATAATGCTAGTTTAGAATTATTTAAAGTAATTATTCAGCTTAGCAGCCTCACTTTAAAAATCTATATATATATATATATTTGTAACACGAGAAAGATATCGGACGAGCGAGGGGTTATGCCCCCACACCTCCCCTAAAACTAACCTAACCTATCGTCATATTAGCCGTCAGTCATTGTTTATTAAAAAGTTGAGAAAAAAGGTTGGACATTTATTTTTAATAAACAATGACCGATGACCAATGTGATGATAGGTTGGGTTAGGTTAGTTTTTAGGGGAGTGCGAGGGGCGCAACTCCCCGCTTGTCGTTTGATATCTTTCCCGTGTTACACAAAAAAAAAATATATACATATATTGATTTTTAAGGTGAGGCCGCTAAACTAGAAATTACCTTATTTAAATTGAGTTTTACAACAAATCGAGAATTATATAAACTTTTTTTATTTTTAAATATATAACTGAGCCTCGTTAAGAGTCCAATTTTAGAGCTGTAAGGATATTAAGAAACATAATAGTGTCTCATGCCAAGCATATGTTTAAACATTCTTTATATGAAGAACCTTTTTCCAAAAAAAAAATTGCTGTATTTCTATATAAATATAAATTAATTATATGGAATATATATAACTTTGTTCACGTTGTATACACTTTTTATACTTTTACATTTATGCAGGATTCACACCGCGCCGATGTCCGACGTACGACATCTGATATCCAATAAAAGAATACCTTTCCAATGGAAAATTGAATTCTATATTAGAAAGGTAGAGAACCTCTAGTACAGAGAATCGCCAACTTGGTCAAGTGACCAGCTGATTGGCTGGCATAAATATATACGGATTTAGACATTGCGACGCCAATGCAGAACAAATGCTTATATATATATATATTTGCATCGGCGTCGCAATGTCCAAATCAGTACATGTTTATGCCAGCCAATCGCAGAGTAGTTGAGGAGCTGGTCACATGACCAAGGCTGCGTTCCGAAACTCACTGTCAGTACTTGCAGTACTGCAAAGTCGTTCCGAAATACGTCGCAGTAAGCTTTCAATGTACTTTCGTTAACACGTGACGTCCTATATTTTGACGTAATTTCCTGCTTTCGTTACTGCGGCTGGCGAGGTAAGACACCAGCAGTGAAAAAATGGCGGCGCTCTGTGATGAGACGTTAAGCCTCATATGTTCAGAAAGTAATAAAATATATAATGTAACAGTTAGTCGTGAAGATGCTGAAAAAGCACATACAGGTATAAGTTTGTAATAATCAATAATTATTTTACTTTTATAATTATTTTATTTTTATTTTATTTTGTTTATTTAATTTAGGATTTAATAATTTAAATAAGAATTGAAAAGTACTTCGTTTAAGTCTGAAACAATAAATTCCATTTTCTTGATATTACTTTTTTTTTTTAATAATCAATGGCACATTTTATCATATTTCTTTTACATGCGTTTGATGTACATTAGGTAAAAATTGTATATTGTTTTCTGTACCGAAAGTGCATTTGAAATTCCTCGTCTGTATACAATGGTATAACACTTTCAACATAGTCCTTGCAACGAAAACGTGGAGTCAAATTTCTATTAAGAGTCCTTAAAAATATATCATCTTCTTCGCTATCTGAAGAACTTTCAGAAGATTCTATTACATATTTTACAACTTTTGTTAAAATCACAATCTCCATATCACGCTATGTTTGATCCATAATTA